ATTGTTGCTTGTTGTCGTTGCTCCCCCCCCCCACACGTCCACGTCTGTTGTATTTTGGAAAGATCGCATTTTGAAGATCCTTTCCGTTGCGACCATGTGCCCTAGATTTATTCGTGGGTTGCTTTCCAGCGTGATATACATTAACTCTTGGTCGAAAACGCCAAACGTTCATCTGTAATTCAGCGCCAAATGCTCTTTTAGCGTTTCTCTTCATGTTTACGACAACCGATGAGCGTTTTTTGGAATCTCACAGTCCCTAGAATAGCGCCCCTAGAATTTGGAGCACCGTTCAAGATTGCCTGGTGGTCGAAGTTAGGAAACGCCGTCATTGGCGCGCTCCTGTTGCCGTTCTCTCCGCCATCAGATGTCAGGAAGAAGACAGGCGGGGCAATGGCGTTATCTGGTTCCACCGATCCCGCAATCGCGAATGGTGTCTTTGAGGATGTGAGGACCGACTACCATTGCTACTCCTGTCAAATCTGTGTTGTGGCCACAGTTCTTAGTTGACAAGAGTGGATCGTACTTGGTATGCCGAAAATCCTTTATCACCTCTCCCCCTGAGTCAGCCTTTGAGGGTCTTCGCTACTGTAGTTAGCATTTGGGATAGGTGAGAGGAGGGGGACCTGCTCCACGAACTTCAGGCTTGAGGAGGGGGGGGGGGAATGGTAATCGTACTTTGAAAAATGTTCTTCTACAATGGCGTGCAAATATTAGCTTCCCATTCTTCTCCCAGGTCCCCGATCCCTTCCATCCCAGTGGCGAGGAACGCTTTTTTGGGGATGTAACGGTGAACTGTATCCGTTTGTCCTAGGTGTACTGAATCGGTCAATAGTGCGCTGCGTCCGGATTGTTGTATAGACATCTGATTCAATAGTGCATGTCTGATGTTTGGTATTGTGCACGATCGGGCAATCATTGATTAAACGCAATACTGCTAACGACCTTTCCACCCACAGAGAACTGTTTCTGCCGTTTTCTGCATGATTTAGCCCTGATGGAATCCCAATGTTCGATTATGGGATTGAATGATCCCTGACAAGGACACGTCCTGCCGCTGTGGAGGATTTTGGCAGAATACGACCCCCTTCCTAAAAAGTTCCTTCAGTACGACCCCTTTCTCATCCTCCACCATGTTCCCAATTTTTTCTAAATTTCTACAACTTTTTTGTAGTATTTTCCCAGAAGACTCCCAGATTTTCGCCAAGAAACTGCAATGAAGGGGGAGAGTGGGAGTTAGAGCGAAATTTAAACCCCTCTTCCCAAAGCACGTCATCGAAGAAAATGAAGGGTAAAGAGCGAGTTGACGTATTTGCCACCGATGGATCATATCGGAAACTCCGCGGGCATTGTAAACCAAGGACGCAGATAAGAAAGTCTATGGAGAGCTGTGAAGGAGTGGGGAGGTGAAATGCAACACTGTTCTGGCCATTTGTTTCACAAGTGTAGCCATCGATCCTCGTCTTGTTTCTCATAGCACTTCAATTGTCTGGTAAAATTTTATCATTTTTTATGACAAAATGAAAAATATTTCTGGTAATCTGAGTGATGATCTCTCATGATCACATGCTTTTCCGTGACTCATAACGACTATCTAGCTAGTTTTATATGAAGCAAAGGCGTGCGCACCATAAGACGATGTGGCCGCGAGCACATTACCCATTGGCACGTTGCCAACTGTCTGTGTGGCACACGGCCAACATGCGCTCTTCGCCCAGTTATCAATGTCCTGGGTGGCCTGCGACCGTGGTGTCGTACGTACGTACGCATCGATCGATCGGTCGCCATGATTGTTACTTTCTCGCCTTTTCTGGCGCTCGTTTTTTCATTCTTTGCACGCGATTTTCATGCAGCATCGATGTTCTTTGTTGATTCCTTTTTTCATAGCGTGTTTGCTGGGCTGGATGGCTCCCCATGGGCTTCCCAGACCACGCCTAGGTAAGGGGGACATGTTTGGTCAGGCATCATTCACCCCACCACCCAGAATTTTGATCTTCGAATCGTTTTTTTGCTGCCACGAATCGGTCCTGGCCGACATCATCGTCTGTTGCACTCTTGCGCTGCCACGCCCCCGTCGGCCATCTCACCCCATTGCATGCTCTATAACGACCTTTTTGTCTGCGTTTCCCACGTCACCACAATCTTTCGCGAAGCGCTGTGCACGTCAGACTCTCGCTTCCACGTGCAACTACGTGCCACGAGGCCGCGCCCCCAGCGTGGCCACTTTCTGAAGACTTTCACTTCGCGTGGGGTGGTGGTTTTCACACCCATATCAACACCACAGGGTGCATTTTTTTAAGATCCGAACGGTAGTCGAGTGATGTTCGTGCACCCACTGTTGCCACCATTTGCATTCATTCCAACCCACATTCCACCACCGCCGCCACCACCACCACGTCCACCCTCATCATTGCCATCGTCCGTGCAACCGTCAACGACGGCTCGTCATTTGCTTTTGCCGCCTCCGATGCCACCACCATTCCCATTTCCATTTTATATTCGTCCACCGTCTCATATACCGAACAATAGCACAGGATTACAACGTGCAGTGTCACCACTTCCTTTGTCTCTACCCTTAACCATAACCTCGCTGAAATCCTCGAAGAATATGCGACGAAGGAGTAGCGGCTCATCAGCACAGTCGATCAGTTGTGCTGCAAGCACTTCATCAGCATCCAACTGTGAAGCGGTAAGCTTTTCCTAATTGTGCCATTCTATTTCTGTCATTTTTTCTTTTTTTTCGTGGTCGCTATCTTTTGGTACAACATCGGTATCAGTATCTCTTTATTTGTTTGTTTAGTGTTATTAGCGCGAATTGCGGCCTCAATCGGCTACAAGGGGGCATTTGGAGGACTCCTTGTGCACGACTGTGATTCTCCTTTTAGCGAAAACCCGTCTTGCATAGAGAAATCAATTCACCTGCCTGTGGAGCTCTTAGATTTTAGCAAAAGTCCTCATCTCTATCACTCCAAACCCAGTTCTGGGCGAGAACTGCTTAATGCAACCCCTTAGCGGACATATGCGTAACTTCCTTTGCGTATTTATTTTTATTATTATTTATGCAAGTTTTCTGGTTATCAGTCATGCAAAGGTGTGATTCAAGGCAGCCAGGGCAGGGTAATTGAAGTCTCCGAAGTACACACAATTTAGGAAACCAACTAAATGCTCCAAAATTTGCAGTTCTGCAAAATTTGTGGTGCTTTTATCGGTGATATAAATGACAGCGTCAAATATTTCTGCCTAGTATCGTACCTGTTAGACCTGGTATGGTGCCTGGTGATTCAAAAGACCCCATTTTTAGATAATTTGGACTTGTTAGGAGGTCCCAATCAATATTTGTACGGAAAAGTCGAAGCACTCTGGCGCAATTTGGCTAGGGAGGTTTATTGCACTCTTACTGCTTCCCGTTGTTGTCTTCATTCCTTCACAAAAGTCGACGGGTAACTTTTACAAGATTCGACTAGTAGTTTCTACAAACTCCGACTGCTATCACTTCACCCGACACTGCAATGGGAAGCAGCGAAAGTGCAAAATGCCCCCCCCCCTTACCAAACTGCGCTCACTTTCAATGATTTTTTGTTTTCGTCTTTTGTGATTTCTTTATCCACCAAGGATGTTCAGGTGTCATCACAAGATTCGGGACGTGCGACAGGGGGATTGGCGTCGTCGCTATCCCCCATGGATGAAGCAGGGGATGTGCTTCCTATGTACGAGTTCGAAATCCCTAACACCTTAGTTGGTTTAGTAATTGGAATCAAAGGAAAAACAATAAAGGTGCGTTTGTTTTCTCAAAAAATAAACCTCGTTAGTTTCCGGTGACCCCTCGAGTTGATAAGTTTCAGGAGTTGAGTTCGAGAACAGACGTTCGAATGCTGATACGACAACATCACACCCCAGAGAAGGTCGACACCCATCAAATATGTCAAGTAAGTTCACACCTGGCTGTTTTGTCATCTCGTTGTGTAACGTCGTCCCTGGTACGCTTGTCACATGCCCCTTCCGTACTCGTAGTGTTTTTCAGGTTCGCGGTAAACGGGAACAAATCAATCGTTGTCTACAGATGTTGCGCAGACGATTTCCACCTGCACGATTTCCAGAATTAAATTTGCAACCTGTTTTACCACCACCACTTGCAAGCAATTTATTCGATGCTCTAGCTTCACAACCTAGCTGGGTACGTATTCGACTTAAAGGCACAGTCCACGATTACCTGAGAAATAGAAGGTTCGAGTATAATGTGCGCGAGTCTGCAGCCGCGCAAGGTTTGCCACCTTAGCAGCATGAAAGTGAGAGGCAAGTCCAAAGCTAAAACTAACACTGAGCTCGGTCTCCGCCTATGGAGGCCAACCTCCGCCCTTTTCATTCCGTTTTACAATCGTTGCATGACCTCGCCATCTTGCTCTTCTGTGTGCTCTCGTATCACTTCAGAAGTCTGTTTCTGTTCGGTGGCTCTTCCCCTTGCACTCGTATGCCAACAAGGGTCTTGTTTGGGACGTTCGAGATAGTTTATTTTGTTCTTGTTCTCTCTGATACTTGATAACTTGACTACCACATACCATTTTGGAAGCAGCGCTGAGGAGGAGTATTTTGCACCTTCGCTGTTTCTCATAGTTGTGTTATTGTTTTAGAAGAGCTGCAATTATT